TACAATGTGTCAAAATTTTGTTAATAAAGCTATACAACCAATTAGGAAAAAATTTCTCAATGCAAAAATAATACACTATATAGTGACATACTTTATAGCTGTTCCACTGAAAACTCACACATTTATTTCCTCAGCCTCAATTAGCTTTACAAGAATATGGGCTTATTATAGCCCAAGAAAAAGTTTAAGAAAAATCTCCATTTTCCTACCTAGGTCATATTGTCCGAAACAACAGTGAAGCACTTAATGATTTTCAAAAACTTTTAGAGGATACTAATTAGTTTTCACCATCATTCCAAATTGCTACAGAACAACTGGCTAATTTCTTTTTTACATTTAGAGGAGATCCTAATCTAAATTCCCCTAGACATTAACTCCTAAAGCAAAAAAGGAGCTTTATTTAGTCAAACAGAAAAATTCCTGAAGCTCAACTCACCCATATTTTTTTAAATGAAGAGGTACCAGGTGCTATTCTTAGTACTCCAGGTCTCCTACAATTTTTAACTTACAGGAAATTTACTTTCTGTTATTAATTAACCTTATAATAAAAGGCAAATAGACAGTCTTGTTTCCTCTTAAAGAATTGGCAAATTGCTATTGCTATTTTTTATGGTCGTATTGATATTGATAATTGATAAATATTTACCATTTCTTAAGATATTAACCTTTTTTACTAATTATTCATAGGTATTTCAAAAAGATTGTTAGATTTAACCCCATTCCCTCAGCCCCCATGACATTCATCTATGGGTTAAGTACAGGTATAGCAGGATATTATGAGCCTATTAATGTTGTTTCTGATAGCAAGTAATCTGTTTATGTCTCTCAGAATATAGAGACTGCAAAGTTAAAATATATGACTAGTACCCAATTATATACTGAAAGCAATGGCATTATTGATTCTTAACTACAATGCTGCCACTTAACTTTTATTAAGCTTTTATTGAGCCTTTTATTAACTGTATTCTGCCAATACAACAACCTTAACTGTAGAGAAGAAAACATTTTGTGACTATTTTTGAGTAAATAAAGTATAAAGAATAATGATTATTTTTTAATTAACAGCCTGTTTCAAATGTATCAAGAGGCTTTTCTCCCAAACCCCTATTTGACAATTGGATGTAACCTATATGCCTTCTTTTGAAAAGCTTTCTTATATTCATGTTATAATTAATACTTTTCTTCTTTCATTTTTGCCACTTTACAAACAAGTGGTACAATTAAATATGTGATCAATCATATTTTACAAGCCTTCACAGTTGTGAGTGTACTTAAATGATAATGCTTCTGAGGAGCTTCCATTAGCAAAACATTTTCTTCCTTTTATGCTTTTTATAACATTTCTCTGATCACAAACATTTTATATAATTAAAAACAAAGATATTAAAATTATTCTTTTTTTAAAAAGGGGAAATCTGGGCCACTACCCCTCATTGATAATTGGTTATTAATTTTTTATAATTGGCTATTAATTTTCTAAATATTAACAAAGATGAGTACACTCCAGCCTAAAAACATCCAGAGGCCTGGAGCCATTACTAACAAGGGGACGAGGGTGTGCTTACATATTTTTTCAGAAAACTTTGATAAACCTGTCCAGATACTGGAAAAAGATGTCAGAGCATGTATAACAACTCACAGCTTGAATACAGAGTATGAGAATTCGGGGAAAGTACAGAAGGAGCCAATCTACAGTGACAAGTCGCCTTCCCACATGGGGTACAGTGAAAGCTCCCTCTCATCGAGTGATAAAAGACTCCTGAACTTGTATTTTTAGTAATAGTAGCTTTACTTTCTGCTCAAGTGTGTAATGTACAGACTGCTCAGCACTGGACTTATTTTTCCTTTTCCACCCTGGATGCAACTTCTCACATATATGGACAAATTGGGACTATACATACACTAATAACACCTGTATATTTGGAAGACAAGAAGATCCTATCTCCTGGATAAAGTCAAGGGTTACAGTTACCTTCAGATCTCTAGCATCCAGGACACCTACATGTTTTTCAAAATTTAGCAACAATATTGAATCCTGTTTTTTCCTTGTTACATCAGTTTTCAATACCAGTTTGTCTCATGGATATGTAACTTTTATTCAATCTAATATTACTTTTGAATAGTATGTTACTTTTGTCAATTGTACTCCAACAATGTATTGAGAATACTGACTATTTTTGGTAGAACAATCATCATTTGCTATTTTCCCTACCAACGTTTTACATGAATAGTTTCAGAATTCTGGTGAACATGTTCTTCAAATTATTACTTTCTCCTTAAGTCAATCAAAACAATTTGTCTCCTTATTATTGGTTTAATCATTGTTGCTTCTTTTATTGTATCTACTACTGTTTCATCTATTGTGCTACAGTCTGAAATCTAAACTGCATAATTTGTATATGACTTAGCAAAAAATATGTTTGGTACTTAATGCATAAGAAGCTATTGATACATTGTATAAAGTCAATTTATTAGAACAATCAGTATTGTATTTAGCAGATAAGTTAGAACCCTTGAAAACAAGGTTGCTATTGCAATGTGATTACAGATATTCATATATTTACATTATCCTGCTACCCTATGATGCTTCAGATCCTAATATCTCATGAGACAAGACAAGTGCCTGCCTATTGGGAGCCTGGCACAATTCTAAATAACACCCAGGAGATTGCAGACAGTCATTCCCCGGGGGCCAACCCAAAAAATCTGGCTGTAGAGATCTTAGAGAAATTAAGTGCGATCAATATATTTAAGAATTTAGCTTCCTTGTTACTTCATGCATTTTCTTGGGCAGTGTTATTATCCCCTGTATTGTTACCTTAATTAAATCAAGGATCACGGTGTTGGGAACAGATGTTTACCGCCTCAAGCTGCTTGCTAATTCGTAAAGGGAGGAGCTTGTTGAGGCCCAATCTTAAGAGTCTGATATGGGTTTAAGATCCAGGGGCAGAGTTTGACCTCTGCCCAGGCTTTTACCCAAAAGGGCTCAATGATTAAGAGGCACAGCTCTCCAATCTCTCCCTGTTAGGAGGTTCCTGAGACATTCCTTCTCACTCTTTGAACCTTAGATTTACATATTCACTCCTCTATACAGGCGCCAGGAAAAAGCCTTGGAATTTAGAACTCTATCTAGGAACTCTGATAAGGAGGAAATGTATGTTATCACATCCTTAACAGATGTTTCGGGGAGTGTCTCACGGGGAGGACTCTTTGAAGTTAGGATGGATTTTCTCTATATATCCTGTACCGTCAGAAAAATAAACTGAGTCAGTTTTCTGCTCTGCCTGGTCCCACTTCATGTCTTATTTCACACCTCTCCATACGGTGTACTATCTGGTTGCAGGCAACAGACTTTAAATGACCCAAAGGAGACTTTATATTTTATTACCTAGAGGCCAAAGGAAGCCACTGGTGCTTTTTAAGCAGGAAGGGGACAGGGTCAGATCTGTGCTTTACAAATGTCAGCCTGGCAGCTGTGCAGGGGATGACTTGGAGAAGAAAAAGATTTGATAGAGGGAAATCAATTAGGAAACTATTGCAGTGTTCCAGGTGGAGGTGATGAGGCCTGAACTAAGACGGTGGCAGGACAAATAGAGAGAAAGGGCTAGATATGGGGGATGTTGTGGAGATAGAAATGACAAAATTCCTCAGCTGAGTGGATCTGTGGGGGAAGGCAGCTTCAAGAATGGATGACCCTGTGTCTGGAAGGATGGTGTAGGCCTCAATAGAAATAGGGATGTTAGAAAAAGGGAAAGGGGTTTTTTTTTGGGGAAAGATAAATTATCTTTTGACATTTTGGGTGTGAGATAACTACTGAACATCCAACTGGAAATATCCAATAGACAGCTGACAGTACCAGACTGGCACTCAGTAGGCTTGTTTATGTAGATATGAGAGTCATCTGCATACAGATGAGAGTTAAATCCATGAAAGCTGATGAGATCACCAAGAGAGAATAGCAAAAATAGAGCCCAGGTCAGAGTTGTGGAGGATGTCCATCATTAGGGGGCAAAACTCCCTAATGCTCTGGCAAAAATGATCTGACTGAGAAGGAGCAGGCATGTAAGTAGGAGAAGAACCATTAGGGCATTGTCATGAACATTTAGTGCTGAAGGAATGTCCAGCAGAAGGGGTAGGTCACCAGTATAAAATGCTGCAAAAAGGTCAAAAAGGGTGAAAACTGAGAAAAGGCCACTAGACATGGCAATTGAGAGATAATTGGTAATTTGGAGAAAGCAGTTGTAGTAGAATGATGAAGTCAGATTATAAAGGGCTGAGAAGTAAGAGGAAAGGATTAACAGTGTAGAGGGCTTTTTCTAGGAGTTGAGATGGGGGAGAAAAGACATAGGTGGTAGGGTCAAGTGAAGGTTATTTAGGGATAGGTAAGATTTAGGCAACAGGGAAAAAGATTAAAAATCAGAGAGGAGAAGAGGGAATTATTGTGGGGACAATTTTCCAGAGGAGATAGGAAGTAATGGGATCAAGGTCACAAGTAGAGGGGATGACTCTGACAAAGAGAAGGGTTACTTCTTTATCAGAAAATGGAGCAAAGGTGAAAAGAATGGGATTTTGAGGTGGTGAATAGAAGAGGTGAAAAGGCTTTGATTTTCTCTGTAAAGTACGAGATGAAGTCCTCTGCTGAGAGGAAGGGACATGAGGACTTCAGGAGAGAAGAATAGTTTTGGAATGGTGATTATAGATTCATTAAAATATTACGTATTTTTAAATTGTGATGGCTGGTTGTTTAAAAAGCATCTCAAATAAGTCATACCATAGTAACCATCTTTTGGGGGAGGGAAGAGAATGATGAAGGGGGAGGTAGACCTGTGATTTAATTGTTCTAGGAGACAGCTGAAAGGAGGCTGTCTTTACTGATGCAGGTGGGCGCCTGCTCTGCAATTTATAATCTTAGGGAGTTGCCTGGGCACTGAGAAGTTAAGTGATTTGCCCAACATCACACAGCCAGCTTGTTGGTCCTGGAATCCATGTCTTCCTGGCTATGGCACGCGCGCTCTCTCTCTCTCTCTCTCTCTCTCTCTCCTATGCCTTACTGCCTCTATCATAGCATTTTATGAATATGTAAATATTGATATGGTTCAATTTGATTCAGAATTTTCATTGTATTAAAATACAATTAAAATAAATTAAATTAAAGCAGTCCCAAGCTTTATATCACCTACAAGTGTAGGAGTTAAAATCAGAATTTCACTGATTTAAAGACAAATCTGCTTACCAGTGAAGAGTCATGTTTATGAGGAGAGACTTTCTGAGCTTTTCAGTCAATGAACTTAAAGATTCTGACGATATACCACAGTTTTATCCATCTGAGTAATGAATAAACTGGTTCTATATTTTGTAGTATTGGAGTGTAATGCCTGCCTTCCGGAAATTAACTTTTCTTCAGAGTAGCACTGTATATCTCAAACTTTAATGTAAGCTCTTAGAGTTGTTCTTTGACTCATTTTCAGAAACATAATGTCCAGCCTTCTCCAAGCATTATACCAAGAACACAGATACTCGACTTCATTCAAAACTGTTAGGAAAAAATTCTCCCAGGGGGCATTCACCATTCAAATATGAAAACATGACCTTTTGTTTAATCGTGCCATCTTACAGTCGAGACTTTTCAGAGCCAGAATATCTGTAGCTAAGCATCCAAATACAAAAAGGAACAGTTGGAAATTTCAAAAGGAGCCAGGGATAAACATGGAAAAGGACCCCAAACACTAAGCCTCCTACCTAATCTCACTGGCCACCGAATCAAGTTATCACACATTAAAAAAGAACGGCTCTGTGCTGAATCTCCCGGGAGAATTAGCACCTAACAGATCTTTGCTTTTTTGAAAGTCTGTGAAGTGGCTTTTCTGTTGACATTAAATAGAGCTGACAAAATTATCCCCACAGCTGGGCGCCCTTGTCATCTAATCCCTCCCCCACCCCACCTTAAACTTTTTAAAGAGAGCAGTTAGGACCTCTCTGTGCTTTAGAGAGGAACCAGGCATAGGGAGATGCAGGCCTTGTTAGATCTCCCCAAGCTATGGAAATGACCGGCACGTTTATCCTCTACTTTTGCTGCTCAGCTTGGATGTTTTCCTCCTTTAGCCTTGGGTCTCAAACCCTTGAGGATGAAGCTGGATCTTTAATAAGTGGGGAAGCGTCCCTTGAGGCTAAGCCTCAGCCCTGGGATCAGCCTCTAGATGGAGAAAATAGCCCTGATCTCCTTCCACCCCTCCTCAAGGTCTTAGTCAACAGCCATGTTCCTGGGGCGCCAAGGCTACAACCTGATTCAATAGCCCTGCGTTACATGAAGAGGCTTTATAAAGCATATGCGACCAAGGAAGGAATTCCCAAATCTGACAGAGGTCACCTCTACAACACTGTCCGTCTATTCACACCAAGTGCCCAGCACCAACAGTCTTCTTGGGGCCAAGTCACAGGTGTGTAGCAGCAAATCCTCTCAGGCTACGACTAAGGGTGGAGAGGTGTTCTAGAAGGGGAGAAAGAAAGGGGATTGATCATACAGTTTCATCTGAATGCTTGATTCAGATGTTAATTGTTCAATTTTGTATATATTTTTTCCTTAAGACCCAAAGATAGAGATACCTAACACCTGTTTTTCTATCAAAAGATTCCTGTCTTTACCTTTTCTTTTTTTTTTTTAATTTTCTTATGCCAAGATAGGCTGGAATCATAGGGTTTTTTTTAAAGCAAAGAAACCCATTTATTCATTTCAATAGCAAAACAGACATTGGATAAGGTATACATAAGGGAATATGGCTTTTAAAGTCAATGGAAACTGTAGGGCTCATCTAGTCCCCCTCCCACTTTTCTGGTTTCTCTTCATGTGAGAATAATCTCCACCTCTAGAGTCTAACAGTCAAATTGCTTTCACTGAGCACCAAAGTTGTCAGTGATTTTTCTTGGTGATAAGCTATCAGGTGTTTTGGGAATGAATATACTATTAATATCTTTTACCTTGTCACTGTCATGTAAGGCCATTTTGAGGGTGTCTGATTTCCCCCTTCTCCCCTACCTGGAGGGGAAAATGGAGAGTATATGAAGTGTTAACTTTTTCTATTCTTGCTATTAGGTTGTCCATTTGACTTGATTTCTAAATGTTCTGCCTCATTTGTATTGAAGCACCTGTGGTGGTTTTTTTTCCCTTTAGGAGTTCTTCAATCAATGGATTTACTCTTTAACCTGGACCGTATTGCTGCCCCTGAACACTTACTGAAGTCTGTTTTGCTATACTCTTTGAAAAACTCGGTTTCTTTTTCTTCTGCCACTAAGTGTATGTGCTACCTAGATGTAAAAGAACCTGAATGTTCTAGCTCACCTTGTTTCAGGTCTCCACAGTCCTTCACTTTTAATTTACAGTTTGAATTTAGAAAAAATCACAAATGGATTGAAAAAGATGTGACCACTTTGCTTCAGCCACTAGTTGCCTCCAACAAGAGAAATATCCACATAGCTGTGAATTTTACTTGTTACAAAGATCAGCCGAACCCAGTGCAGGATGAGTTATTTGACGTGGCCATATTAATGGCCCCATCACTATTAGTATATCTGAATGACACAAGTGCTCAGGCTTACCACAGATGGGATTCCCTTAGATACAAAGGAAGCCACCAACTGTTACCCGACCAGAGAGATCCTATGGAAGAGGAACTGATTTGGGGCAGAAAATCTTCCCGTCACCGAAGAGATGAAGGAATTGGAGATCGCAAAGCGAAGAGTCCCAAAGTGCCAGATTCTAACAACCTGAGTGAATATTTCAAACAATTTCTGTTTCCTGAGAATGAGTGTGAGCTCCATGACTTTAAACTGAGCTTTAGCCAGCTAAAGTGGGACAACTGGATTGTGGCACCACGTAGATACAATCCTCGTTACTGCAAAGGTGACTGTCCCAGGCTTCTTAGGCATCGGTATGGTTCTCCTGTCCATACTATGGTGCAAAACATAATCTACGAGAAGCTAGACTCCTCCATCCCAAGGCCTTCTTGTGTGCCTGCTAAATATAGCCCCCTGAGTGTCTTGACTATTGAGACTGATGGCTCTATTGCTTATAAAGAATATGAAGACATGATAGCAACAAGATGTACTTGTCGTTAGCATATTGTCTTAGGGTAAATAACCAAAAGCCTAGAACTTCAGGACAACATTCATGCTGAGTCCACCTGGGTCTTCAGGAAGGCTTTATACAATAAACTTTGGATACACTGATGTCTAGTTCTATATGAAATATATTGGGTACCTCAGCATGTTCTGATAAGTATCATTGTAATAAGTAGGCTTTGGAGCACTATTGAATGGGTTTTTTTTTAATTACAAATGTAATATATATTTTGGAGTTCTTAGTATGCCTCAAGGAAGTGAATTTTTGTTTAAATGAGATGCATTTGCTTCTGTTGAAGTAAAAAAAATCCATTGGTATAAATGTTAGCTGGAAATGAAGAAAAAAAATTGAAAAGACAAAATACTATAGATGAAAGAATAAATACTTGTCAATAGCATATCTCTTCTGTGTGATTTTTTGGAAACCTTTAAGAACTTTTTCATAATGGATATTTGGTGAAATAGTGTTTGAGGTGGGAATGGGCAAGGAGGATTGCCAATGGATAGGATTAGTAATTAGAGAGAATGGGGGGGGGAACAAGTGGAAAGCATGGAAGATTAAATGATTCTCTTCTAGAGAAGATCTAAATACCTATTTGCCTGTAATTCTTTCCTCCATACTGCCTGCATTGTTACCATGATGGAACATGGGTAGCAAAGAGTTCCAGAACTAAAATCCTAGTACAGTTTCTGGCAGCTTCTATCTTTTTTTAAGTTTATTTACCAATCTAATTTTCTCTGGGGAAATTGTAAATTATAAATTTGATACATGCATTAAATTTACATACAATCCAGGTTAGTACATATTAGAAGTAAAACATCTTCATTTTTTACACTAGACATCAATTTTCTCAAACTTTAACAGGAAAAGAATTCTTCTAGAAAGAAAGGAAAACAGTGACAAATATCTAGAAGTTCAAGGATAAAGCCACATTATCCTTGAATATATCTACTTGGCACGTTCCATCCAGGTGTTAGATGTTACTTAATGTGATGTGTTGGCCAAGAATATCAGGGAACAGTGGGGTATGCTTAGAACAGTTTTAAACTTCAGCTCTGGATTGCTTTTTAAAAAGTTTCTTATTTTAATTGCTACTTTTGGGACTTAAAAAATTCTTCATTTCTAAGTATATCCTCTCTTATCCAATGGGCTATGCCTTAACAATCTCTTTTTTTCTTAAAAGGGGTGTGTGGGAGGGGGATACAGAAACCCAATCAAAATATTGTTTATGTCTGACAAAATTCTCTCCCCTTCATTGAAGGGAGAGACGTACATTTTCTCAACTGTTCTCTGGGGCTAACTTGCTCACAATTTTATAGGATTACTTATCTTTTCCTTTGTGTCAATTCCTGTGGTAGTTTAATAATACATTAATTATATTAATCAATTTCAAGTGTAGTGGCAGCTGTATTTGGTCAAAATCTCTGCACAAAACAAAGCCTCGTTTTTTATGAAGGGAGCATGTGTAAATTATATGGGGGGAGTCAATTGTCACCTGTGACTTCTGAAAGAAAACATGCTAAATTAATGGCCTATTCAACTAAAAGAAATAAAATTAAAAAGAATGCTGCCCTTATATCGTAATTATCTAGAGTTTGACTCTGTGCATTAACACAACAGGCAAGTTTGCCTCCTAATAAGTTACTGCTTCGACCAATAAAAATAAACTACTAGCAAGTTTAGAAATCTTATCCTCTAATACAATTAATGCTTTTTCTGACAGCCTGCTGTCTGCAGGTGGTCTTACCTTCCTCAAACATTTTCCTAGCACAGAATGCTTTTAGGAATGTATTTGCTGTTATTCAGGATAGCAATTGTTAAAAGTTTCATATTTTCAGGTATTTGGGTGAGGGTCTCCTAGTCATATTAAATGAAACTTGCTCTATTAATTTATTTAATAAAAATTCACTTTCTGTATCAGCATCTTTATAGAGTAAAAAAAAAATTGCCAGCTGATTAAAATTAGAATAGTTGAGCCTGACTAGTTGTCTCCTTGGTCTTCTCAAAAGACCAAGGCTCTGGCAAGAGAAATATCTGCTGCTAATAGGGCAAATTTCTTTTTCTCTTTGAATTAGAATTTTTATCACAGAGTGTGGTGTGAAGTGATGTATTCCACGTGCAGGTTGTGATGGGAATTATTTTTGATAAGGGTTGTTTTCCAACACGAAGCAATTTTACATACATTTTTACTGAGCTTTACAAAAAAAAACCCTATGCTATTATTGTCTCCATTTTATAGATGAAAAAAACTGAGATGCAGGGAAGTTAAATGACTTGCTTATGACCAGAGCTCTCTACTGATTGCAAATCCAACATTTCCCCAACATATTATACTGCTATTCTTATTGGAAATTGAAATATATGCAAGCCAAGGGAAATATTGATCCAATCATCAATGGTAATGTGGTATTCCCCAATGATGTTCATGAAGTATCCTCTAAATATAATTGATCTTATAGCCACACTCATTATCAGTGGTTCTCAAAGTGTATCCTGACATACATTAGCATGCAATGAGTTTCTTTAGGTGTGTTCCAAATTGTATGGCACTCACAGATGAGTCACTGGATTCTCCTATAATGTTGCTAACTTAAACATTGAGCATGCTGCAATAATACTAGGCTGAGAACAACAAAAAAAAGGTTGAAAACCACTGCATTAAAACCATTGGATGTTTTAAACTCTATAAAGGCAACCATGGATTGTAGGTGCTTTAGAAAGATCCTTAAGATTTAGGGGAGGATGTGAATTAGAATAGGGGGAGCTAGATGGTGCAGTAGATAGAATGCTGAGCTTGAAGTCGGGAAGACTCATTTTTCCTAAGTTTAAATCTGGCCTCAGACACTAGCTGTGTGACCCTGGGCAAGACACTTAATCCTGTTTACCTCAGTTTCTCAACTCTAAAATGAGCTGAAGAAGGAAATAATAAACCACTCCATTATCGTTGCCAAGAAAACCCCAAATGGGGTCATGAAGAGTTAGACACAATCAAACAACTGGACAACAACAATATGAATAAAAATTAGAGTATGAGAAAGATGTAGATGAACTGGGATCTGTGCCCTTGGAGGGAGTACCCCACAACAAGGAGAACATGTATACGCTGAAATATTGAAAAGGAGCCATCATGGCTTCTGTAGTTGCTATTATCATAATTCTTATCCAGAATTAGTTTCTGAGGCTGTATAGGGTTTTGTTTTTTTAAGCCTTAAAAACCCTTTACTAAGAAGCATAGATACTTTTCACAGCAATGGGTAAAGGTTGAATTCTTTTTTTTAATTTTTAGGCAATTGGGGTTAAGTGACTGGCCCAGGGTCACACAGTGTCAAGTGTTTGCTCTGAGGCCGGATTTGAACTCAAGATCTCCAGACTTCAGGGCCTGTGCTCTATCCACTGAGCCATGTAGCTGCCCCTAGAGGTTGAATTCTTAACCAAATAAGGGACAGAGACAATTATAAAAGACAGAATAGATAGCTACATAAAATTGAAAAGCTTTTGTATAAACAAAGCATTTCAACCAGGGTATGAAATGAAGTCATTGACTAGGAAAAATTGTATCAAATATCTATGATAAGGGTTTGATATCCAAAATATAAAGAAACCATTCCCAATAAATACATGAACCATTCCCAATAAATAAGTGATCAAAGGATATAAACAAATAGTTCTCAAAAGAATTGCATACTATTAACAACCCTGAGGCTTCACTTGCACCCTGAAAATTGACAAGGATGATAAGATGTAGGAATAGTCAATGCTGGAGGTATTGTGGAAAGATAGGCATACTAATGAATTATAGGTGGGGTTGTGAATTGGCACAACCATTGTGGAAATGAATTTAGAATTATGCAAAGAAAGTGAATAAAATGTCCATATCCTTTGACACAGAGATTCCACTACTAGGCATATACCTCCAATGAGGCTACTGATAAGAAAGTCCTCATGTACACCAAAATATTTATAGCAGCACTTTTTGTGGTAGCAAAGAACTAGAAGAAAAACAATAGATACCCATTAATTGGGAAATGGGTAAATAAATTGTGGTACAGGAGTGTAATGGAATAATACTATGGTATAAAATCAATGAATACATTACAATATGACAAATAATAAATGCAAAAGAATGGAAAGACTTAAATGACCTGATTCATAGTGAAGTAAGCAGAGTCAATAAATCAATACGATTACAACAATGCAAACAGTATATTGCTTCATCATCATTATCATTCACATTGTTTATATGAGCTGTTCTTTGACCCAGTTGTTACTTAGGATTTCATTATTAAGTCTTCATTTCAGTATGGATCTTTTGTCCTTTCTTGTTTACTTTTTTTTATATTATGGGTTGTAAAGGATATGTTTATTTTTCTTCCTTTTTACATTAATTTCCAATATCTCTATGTCTGAATACATGGTCAATTTTTGTAAACGTTCCATGTGGTGCTGAGAAATGCATATGTTCTTTAAAAGATGCCATGAGTCTCTTAGATCTAGTTTCTGCATTGACTTTTTTCAATTCTTCATTTTCCCCTCTTGTTTATCTTTCTGTTAATTTATCCCAGTCTGAGAGAGGGACATTAAAATCTCTCTCCTATTGTTATATCTTTTTGTAATTCAGTTAATTTTCCCTTTGTGAAATGTTATGACATTGAAAGCACATAAGTTTAATGTTGATATTAGTTTGTTATCTATAGTACCTTTCATTATAATTTCCTTGGTCTCTATATTATTACTTTTTGTTTTTAATCTCATTATGATTGCAACTCCTGCTTTTTTGGGTTAATCTGAACTGTTATAGTGTCTCGTATTTTATTCCGTGTTTATCCTTACTTTTTTGAGGGGTTGGTGGTAAGCAACAGATTGTGTAGTTTTGTTTTCTTATCCAATCTCTCACTCTTTTTTTTTTTGGCTAGGCAATGGGGGTAAGTGACTTGCCCAGGGTCACACAGCTAGTAAGTGTTTTTATGTGTCTGAGGCCGGATTTGAACTCAGGTCCTCCTGAATCCAGGGCCGGTGCTCTATCCACTGTGCCACCTAACTGCCCCTTGTCACTCTTTTTAAAAAATCGATTGTATCAGCAACATTGAACGATGATTAACTATGAATGACTTAGCTCTTCTCAGCAACACAAGGATCCAAGACAAGTACAGAGGACTCATGATGGAAAATGCTATCCACATCCAGATAAAGAACTGATGGACTCTGAATGAAGACCAAAGCATACTTTTTTCACTTACTTTATTTTTTTGTGTTTTTTTCCCTTTTGATTAGTTTCTTCTTGCACAACTGTGACTAATAGGGAAATATGTTTTACATAATTGCACATATATAACCTAAAAAAAGATTGTTTCACCTATTCACATTTGAAGTAATG